TTTGAGACAAGACCTCGCTTTATGGTCCAGGGCCACCTCAAACCAGAAGGCCTCCTTACCTTTCCCAGGCCTATAAACTACATTTTAAGAATGTTGATTACAAATTTTGGCTTAAGATTCAGAAGAGTGTCTCGTGAATTTAAAGAAAACATTATCTTTGGAAAGAATCTACTCTCAGGTCATCATCAGTCAAGGGTTTTCTTAATAGTCACTGCCTGCCCCTCTCGAGCAGCAGCTCCTGATTACATGCCTGTGTGCACGAACCTTCTGGTGTACACATAAAAGCACCTCTTAACTGGGCTTTCCATCTTCTAGGTGTGCTGCTTCCCTTAACATCATTTTGCAGTTTCTTATTAAGAATGATTTCTGACTTATGTTTTGATTTTATATAAGTACATGTATTTAAGAGGCTACCCTATTATTTCCCAAGAACAAACACATTCTCTAATCACAGAGTAAATATCAGTGTCAGAAAATGAACATTGGTACACTGCTATTATCTAACCTAGACCTCATTAGTACTTCACCAGTTGTCCCAATAATGTCCTTTAGAGCAAAGGAATAATAATAATAGCTACAGCAATGGAAATGAAGAGAGGAAAAGAAGGAACTGCTCCAGGTCTGACATGGGACCTTATGCTGTTCTCAGTTGTTAAGTCTCTAGTTGCAGTAGTCTGGATAAGCTCCTCTGTCTTACTCATTACCTTGACATATTTGAAAAGTGGAGACCAGTTACTTTGAATAGTCTTTAGTATGCATGTATTTGATGTTTATTTATGATTAGGTGTGTGAACTTTTGGCCAGAAAAGTAGCAAAGTAGTGTCTTTCTTGGTCTCTCTCTCTTGCTCTTGCTCTCATTTTAGCAGGGAGTGGTAGCTCCCTTCTGTAATTCCAGAACTGTGGAGGCAGAGGTTGGAGGATAACCCCTAAGTTCAAAGTCAGCCAAAGCTATAGGGTGAAACTGTTTTTCCTTTATTGTTACTATTTGGGGGTGTAGAAAGCTTTCTTTCTTATGCTTTTCCACTCATCTACTTAAGAATTCTTCTTTGAGCAGAAGCACTTGGGATTCAGTGATATCTGGGTTTGTGCCCCAGAGTGGGTGGCAAAGGCAGTTTTCTCCTGTGGCTCCCTTTGTGATTTGTAAGGGGTGTATCCCTAGACCTTCACTGAGCTCCAAGGTCTGCAGGGCCATCCTCTCATTCTTACCCTACCCCTCTCCAGTAAGAGCAATAAACCCTAGATGACATTTTTATGAACTCTTTTAGGACCTTAATGATTACAAATATAAACTAAAATTATGCATAAACATTATAAACTCTGAACAGAGGGGCAGTTTCATTTCTACAAGGTTAGCTATGACCTTACAGGTATTTGAATTCTAGGTGATTTGAGTGGATGGCTCTACAACATGAGCCATATTTAGGACTTGACGAGAGCCACTGTAGATTTGAATATTTTGATCCTTTACCCAAAATTTCTGTATTTGTACTTAGAACCATATTTTTTCTGCCTTCTTTTCTTGCATTAGCACTAGTTACTAGCTTTCCACAGTTACAAAAGTCATGGCTGTGAAGTGGTGTGTAAAAAACATCTGGAGAGGGAGAGGGTGAGAGGATAGCTACAGACTGTTATTGAGCAGGAGACTTATTTCTTTAGTATTAAGGAATGTGTAATATAGTTTTATTCTCGAGAGAAATTTGAATGTGTATACACATACACACACACACGCACACACACAAACACACATAGAGTGACCCTTCGGCTTACTTGTGCAGAATTAAAACCATAGATACTAAGTCTATTGTATGGCAGAGGTTTGCTTTTCTTCCCCCCACCCCTCCCTTCTCATTCTCTTTCTTTTTGATTATAGAAATAATGCATATCATGAAGATATATTCATAGAGGTCTCAGTAAGAATGAGACCTTTGTTCTTCCTATTTTACTCCTAGTACCTTGTCTAATACTCATAGTGGAAAGGAAATGAGTGACCTATCCAAAGTAAAACAATGCTTCCTTTGGGAACAGAAAGGGCAAGGAGGGCCTATGGTTTTGATTTTTTTTTTTTAATACAATTTGTTTCCTGTTTATTTGGCAAAATTCCCTTCTGCAGACAGTTGGAATGATTCAGTTTTCTTTTTGCCAAGCTTGTTGAGCAGAAAGACAGTTGAGCTTCTCTGAGTGTTCTCATAGATGTGTACCTTGTCTTACCCTACATTGGGAGTTCTTTACATAGTGTATTGACATTGATATAATTGCAGCTCCCCCACTGGAGCAAGAGAAAGTGCATTCATGATGTTGATGCTGAGTGTGTGGAATAGGTTTCCCTGTGTGCATGATATTAATCATATATGAGACAGCTCAAACTCTACAGTGTACCTTCAGCATAAAGCTCTGTAAATGTTATACAGTAAGCAATGAAGGTAAGCTTTCATTTAGTAGTTTTCTCAATTACTTAGGTTGTTTCTGGGACAGTAAACCATTTTATCCAAAAAGTTTGCTGGGCTGAAGAGATGGTGCAGTGGTTGCTCTTGCAGAGAACCTGGGTTAATTTCCCAGCACCCAGATGGTGGCCAACAACCATCTATAACTTGTTTTAGGAGATCTGATGCTCTCTTCCAGTCTGTGTGGGCACTACATGAGACAGGTGCACTTACAAATAAAAATAAATTTTAAAAAAATTTATAAAAAGGAGCCTGAGAGAGGGGGATAGTTGGATGTAGGTGTTAACAAGAGTGAAATGAGGGAAATGGGGGTATTTAACTAGGAAGGGAGGAGGGAGGATCATACAAGGAACCATGGGGATAAAGGGGAAGAAGAAGCTAAAGAGAGAGAGGATAATAGGAGACAGATATTATCAAGGGAGAAATGGGGAAAATGGTGGTACTTTAACTGGAGGGGAGAGAGAGGAGAGGAGAGGAGAGGAGAGGAGAGGAGAGAGAGAGAGAGAGAGAGAGAGAGAGAGAGAGAATAAAAAAAGAGAATAAGATGTAAAAGAGAGAGAGAGAGAGAGAGAGAGAGAGAGAGAGAGAGAGAATAAATAATGGTTAAGTGGTATAAAAGACAGAGGGAAATGCATTAGTTCAAAAGTCTACTGAAAAATATACATATAATATCTGAACATGAGTTCATGTGTATGCCTGAAGGCCATATAACAATGGTTATACAGGAGAAACCTCCCTTTGAGTTGTTGATCAAGGTAGTATAAGAGACTTCCAAAATAACACAGGCTATTGCCATTGCCCTTGATTTCCTCTCAGAACTTGAAGGTAAGACCCTATTGCTGAAGACAGGATGTACTTTGGACACAGAACTTGGAGCAATGGAGCTAGAACTGACCTGAAAGCCTCCTCCCTGAAGACTAGCTCTCATAGTTCTAGAAGATACTATGCAAGCTGCTAAGGGAGAAAATCAGTGGTCTAACCACAGCTTTAAAGCCTAATAACCATAACAATGACTGGCACAGCAAATTATATAGGTGTGGTGATAGCATTTTATCTTGGACCCCAGCTATCTACTCAGACTTAAAGCCCACTTAATGGGAGGGAACTTATGTTTAGTACTGTAAACAGCCAAATACACATGACTGGAAAGGTCGTAGATCTTAGAGGAAACACCAAGCTGTCACATCCTTAGACAAACATAATTTCTTAGTGTATCCTAAATATGGAACAGGGGGTAGCGAGAATAAAAATGTATCTTTCAACTCTTCATCAGCGAAGTTTCCTCATGCAACAGAGTACAATGCACACAGAAGGCCACAACTGGCCAAAGTGTAGAGAATAAGAGACTGCAGAGTGTGTGTCCCTGGATAGGACTCCTGTATTAAAACTTACCCACCCAGGGCTCAGGGACCATTGCAGAAAAGGGGGCAGAAAGATTATAAGAGCCAGGGGTGGTGCATGATCATAAGGAAACAGAGTCTTCCAGGACTCTGGGAGCTTGCTCATATGAACTTACAGCAATGGTGACAGCATGCAGCCTTAATCAGACAAAAACCAGCATAGAACTGGGGAAATGGGCAGGAAGCCTCAACCTTTGCTGAGGAATTAACTATTTGTAGCTGATTACTGCTAGGTGAAGGAGAGTTGATCTTCTTTAAGGGAGTGATGCTAGACAGGCTGAACAGGCTCCAGTGGATAAACTCACACTGAAGGACATCTGAGTATTCAAATCTGACTTGATAGGCCTTAACATATATGATAGAATGCAAGAAATCCTGTGGACATCTGTGGGGGTGGTGCAGATAGGGGAGGGGGTCTAAATATGATTAAGATGTATTGTATGAAATGCATTAAAGTATAATTTGAAAAAATTTTTTTAAAGTTTTTTAAAGAAGAGAGGCTAATTAAAAATACTTAATCACAAGCAAATCACAATTTATGAATAGCTAGAATGTTTTTCAAATGCATTTTTATTATTTTGCTATTCAAATGGCAGAACCTTTGAGGAACTTAAGTATTAGAAAGGTGACTACATTATACCTGCCAACCCACCCCACATGCAAGTATTTAAAAATTCTTTGCTGACTGCAGTTTGGATTTAAAGGCTATAGTTATGTATTCCCATGACTTCACTTCCTGTAACAATGTATTCTGTATTGATTCATACTTAAGAGTATTTCTGTCTTAAGAAATTCTTTATTCAGGAAAAAACTTATTATTGATTTGCCCACTTAGAAGGACTTTTTAAATGAAAAATGGCATCTAAAAAAAGATTTTATAGTCCCCATGTAGTAGTGCACACTTGTGATCCCAGTACTTGGAAAGCTAATGCAGGAGGATTGTTGTGAGTTCAAGGCCAGCCTGGGTTACAGGTCAGACCCTGGTTCAAATATCAAATTTTCTAAATGACAGTATATAATCTTGAAATGGAAATCAGTATAGACTAAATCCTGCATTGACTTAGAAACTATAAAAATTGTTTCCATTTTGTTTAACTTCCTGTACTTTAATATTGTGAAGAAAAAGTGATGCACACAGATTTCTTCCTGTTTCTCCCAGCCATTGACTTGAAGAATGGTCCTGGAGAAGTGTATCAAGGTCCTGCAAGAGGGTCTGCTGATACAACCATCATCATCTCAGATGGAGATTTCATGGAGGTAGTCCTGGGCAAGCTGGACCCTCAGAAGGTAGTGTTCTCAAAATTGTCATTTATTCTTTATGTGTCTTCCTAACCGACAATTACAACTTTTGAGCTGACTTCCTAGAACTCTGAAGAAGACACATTTGGTACTTATATTCTCAGTAACAAATTTATTTGTTTTGGATGAAATTCCCATTTACCATTTACTTAATGTAAAACTCACACCTAGGCATTTAAATATATCGTTAGTTTAGAGGTGAGGAGCCACATGTAGTTACTGAATATTGCACAACACTGGACAGTCACTCATTCTTGATGTACAAGTCAAATATCTCTTACTTGAAATGTTCAAAATGTTTAAGCTTTCAGTTATTGGATTTTGTGATGTTTGCATAGATTTTACTGGCTTAGTATCCTTAATCTGAAAATAAAATAATTTGCTTTTCCAGAAACTTTCAAAATTTGGAGCATTTTGGAAGTGAGAGTTTTGGATTAGGAATGCTCAACTAATATCAGAGGATATGAACTCATTGAAAAACTAGAAATAGGATATTTTAACTAATAGCCAGTGTTTTGCTGAAGGCAAAAATAGAGGCATTTCAGTCAAAAATCACGAGTAAGATAGTATTGCCTTTTATGATCATTTTAATATTCTGAAACCGTTGACTATTCATAAACACAAAATTCAAGTAGCTGATGTAGTAGTTAAATGGACGAGGAAAATTATTTTTAATTCATGATTATGTAGTTAGAAATCCCAAGAGCATCAACTGATCCTTACAGTGAGGGGGTTCAAGCAAGTGGTTGAATGGACAAATACTAAGAATCAGCTTTTACATAGCAGCAAAACTCAAAAGGTAGAATAGAAGAAAATTTGTTTGTAAGGCATATATTTGTTTATACAGTATACAAAATGCCTGTTTATGCTTCAGAATTTGAAATGTTCTGAGAAATGCAGCTTCTACTCAATCCCTGGTGAGCTCAACAACTGAAAGAATTGGGAGCAAAACAGAGCAACCCAACCCTGGCACTATTTCGCTCTCCAGGGATGTTCAGTTTCACTCCTCAGGGATGCACATCTAGGGGGTTGTTGGGTACAATAGCAGCAGAGGGAAATAACAACTTGTTACCACACCTCTGTGGATCTCTTGTAGCTGTTGCTCCCCCACTTTTAATGATCATGTACTGTTGACAAGACTGTGAATATCACAAAGTGCTCTCCCTGTGAAACACCGGGACTTGCAGGAGTGTCTAATCAGAGGATAAGTGCCTCTCACCACTATTAAAACAGCCAGTACCAGAGAACCTTTCAAGTAACAGAGCCAATATTATCAATCAGATTCTGCAGGCATCTGATAGAGGGCACACACATTATGGGCATTACCATACAGTATGCACCCCACATATCTGCTGTCTAGACCACACCTTTCTGAACTTATGGAGTGTCCCCAAGTCTTCCATAATCTGCACAGACAGTGGATCTCTGACTCTGATATGGTATATTGCTCAAACACTAATGAGAACTGAAGAACCTACAGGGAGATTACACTTTGATGCCACCCTGGAAATAAGAAACTAGCTATTACATAACAAACCAACATCCAAGGCACAATGTTAGGAGAAAGCAGCTTTCAAAGAAAGGCCACCCCATAAAATTGGTAGAGATATCCATTCCACATTCCACATGGCATAAATCTTCAATATAAGAGCATACATATGGGGGCTGGAGAGATGGCTCAGTCATTAAGAGCACTAGTTGCTCTTGCCAGAGGATCTGAGCTCAGTTCCCAGCACCCACATGGTGGCTAACAGCCATCCATAACTCCAGTTCCAAAGGATCTGATGATGCCCTCTTCTGGCCTCTGAGGGCATTGCATGCCTTGGTGCACGTGCATGCAGGCAAGATACTCATACACATAAAGAAAAAACCCCTACAAATATGAAAAAAACAACAAATAAGATTGTACCATGACACCTCCTGAGGATCATCTCTCTAGAAACAGAATTTAAGGAAGTAGATAAAGGTAAGGAGGGAATGTTTAATAAAAGAGCTCGAAAGATGCTGAATGAAATTAGTAAAAATATAAGATATGAAATATTTGGCAAGGAGATAGAAATTTTTAAAGAAACAAGTAGAAATCCTGGAAATGAAGAGCTCAGTAAAAGATAAAAGTATGAAAACCTGAACAATAGATCAAATAGAAAGTATTAGAGCTTGAAGACAGGCCTTTCAAAATGCCACTGACAGAAATAAAAAAATGAGGAATCAAGAGAGATTCAATATCTTTGGTGCACTGAAAAGATGATCAAGCACTTGCATCATCAGCATTTTTAGTGGTTGATAACTTTCCTAATGTTGAGAAAGACATGAGTTCCCAAATCAATATGATCAGCAATATAGTGACAAAAAGTATAGGACAAAGAATTCTTGAATCTGAGAGAGAAAAGTGCCAAATCATATTTAAGTCATCAGCAACCCCAGCAGATTTCTTAGCAGAAACACTGCAGAAAAGGAGGGCATGGGACGATATAGTTCAAGTCCTGAAAGAAAATAACTGCCAACCAAGATTAGTATATCCACTGAAGCCAGGAGAAATAAAGCCCTTTTGAGATGAGTAGCAATGGAGGAAATCCATGACTCACCACACTAGCATTACAAAGGGTGCTTAGGAGAGTGCTACCCTAGAAGTAGAACAGAGATAGCAGAGGGTTTAGTGAAGGACGGATTCCACTAGAAGAGCAGACACATAAGAAGGAAAAATATGGTTGATACAGTCAGCCATCATAAGAGAACAGAATAAGGGAGGCTAAAGTATGAGCAGAGAAGTCAAAACTAGAAGAGAAATCAGCTCATGACAAAGCTATACGATAACGAAATGTAAGTGGTTGTAATTCACCAGCTAAAAGATACAGAATTGTTGAATCGATTAAAAGAAACAAGACTCACCATGTTCTGCCTATAAGAAACTCATGTTACTAGTATAACTGCAGATGAACTGAAAGAGAAAAATTGGAAGATGATATTCCAAAGTAAACAGAAATGTAGAGTGTGTACATCTTTGCTTCTGTCTGACAAAGTAGACAAATCTAAAGCAGTAGAACAGATAAAGATGCTCACTACACACTGATCAAGGGATCAGTTCATCAAGGAGGTATAGTGATTATAAATCTATATGTACTTAATATTGGAGGACTGAGTTTTATAAAAGAAATACTAAAGGGAGAGATAAACGTCAATGTACTAAATATCACATACAGCAATGAATAGCTCATCCATACAAAACAAAACTCAAAATAATCAGAGTTAAACTATACTACAGATCAGATGACTTAACATTTATATTCCATAGGTGCAGAATATTCATTCTTCTCATCAGCACATGGACCTTTATCTAGGATAAGTCAAATATTAAGCTACAAAAGAACATTAACTATCAACATAATATCTCATATAATAATGAAAAGCCCAGGATCAGCTGATTTCACTGCTGAATTTTGCTATACTTTTAAAAAGAACCAGCATGAGTACTTGAACAGAAGAGTCTTTCAAACTCGTCTTGTGAGGCCAGCATTACTCTTACCAAAATCTGATAAGGACATATACACATATACACTACACTCTCAGATAAACATGGAAAAGTTATTAACAAAAATACGAGCAAATCAAATTCAACACACAAATCCAACCAGTCAAGATGATTTCATTCCAGGCATTCAAGAATGAGTCAAAATATGCTAATATGTCATATCAATATGATAAAGGAAAAAAATCATATAACCATTTCTATAAATGCATTAAAACATTTAATAAAATTCAAGATACCTTCATGATAAAAGCCTGATCAAATTAGAGAGGGATCAAATCTAACATAACAAAGGCACATATGACCACCCCACAGGCATCATACAGAATGGGGAAAGTGGAAAGAAAGCATTTAAGATCACAAGCAAGACATGGGTGTGTACTCTGACCACTCCTATGCAATACAAGTGTTAGCCAGAACAGTGGGGCACTAGAAAGAAATAGACATACACAGAGGATGTGAGAAGACCAAAATAACTCGTTTGCAGATGACAATGTTTTTATATTTTATTATACTTAGGTACTTAAATTACATCTAGATTCTACCAAAAGACTTAGAACTGTTAAGCAAATTTAATACGATATCTTCCAACATGCCAGCCTTCTGCTTGGCTTCATACTCTTACCAACACTAAGGTAAATCCCCTGCACATTGTTTTGCTCACATGACAAAGGTGTGTTACTTAAGTACTCCTGTCAAGATTTTTCATAGATGTAGAGACTAGAACTCAGAGAGGTTAAAGTGATTTGCCCATGTTCATGTTGCTAATAAGTGACAGAGCCTGGAATTTAACTCCAGTGTTCTGGTGCTGTTATCTATTCTCCACAGTGCCATACTATCTTATTTTGACATTATATGGCTCCTGTGTGATGGAAGTGTAATTAAAATCTTCAATCTGCTTTTTCAAGCTGCGAATTGAATAGTTTTATTAAGAATACAGTATAGCTTCTTATTCATGTATTCTAAAATTCACATGTAATAACAGTACAGTCAGAAGAGCAGGTTCAAATAGAATTGTTAGGCCTATCAGTTCAGATAACTTGGCTATGATTTTTCTAAAACATGCAGGAATCTTTTTTCTTAGATAGCTAAAAATATGGGTGCTATCTATAGTTGTTGAGCTGTTATACCTAGATAGAAAGCATCTTTGTTGTCCAGAGTTACTAACTCAACTGTATTCAATCTGAATGATTGTCTTTTTGAAAAAGAAATACAATGTAGCAGTAATGGTGCTCTTCTCCTCCCTCCTTTGCAGGCATTTTTCAGTGGCAGACTGAAGGCCAGAGGGAACATCATGCTGAGCCAGAAGCTTCAGATGATTCTTAAAGACTATGCCAAGCTCTAAATGGCTCATATGCTCTTAATAAAAACAAAATAATTACTCTCTTCACCCAAGTATGCTCCATTCTTCTACAAAAGTTATCAACAGTAATGTAACAGACAGGAGAAATTGCTTAACATTTTCAGATTTCAGATAACTTTTCAGATTTTCATTTTCTACTAATTTTTCCACATATTTTTACAAGGAATTGTAAGCTAGCACATACTGTTCTGCTCCTAGATCCGTATCTTAATAAAAAATTTCAACGAAGTCTAGTTTCTTTAGAATTTGTGATAGCATTTCTATGTTGAAATGAAAATTAAGTGAATAAAAGCCACTTTAATACCTGCTACACTGTTTCCTGTTCTTTATCGATGCCATGTTCCTCTGTTCTTTATCGATGCCTGTCCGTCCTCATTTTTCACTGTTATAACAGTGTTTTTCTTAAGACTGAAGTCTTTGCGCTCTTAGTTGTTTTCCTCCCCTCTGCTTGAAACAGGGATTGGTGCAAAGGAAGTTAGACTGTGGTGTAGTTACTGACCTTTCCGGCCTACTATGATGCGAGGATATTCCTTAAGAAGTGTCCCAAGGCATCTAATGATTGATTATAGCCTGCCCTGCAAAGGGGCATGAGTTTGGGTGAAATGAGGAGAGTCCTGACTTGGGGATTTACTTGGAGGCCTTGGTAAAGGCATGATGAACCCACAGGATCATCAGCTCCAGCCTTGTGAGCACACTCCGAGGTGACCTGACCCTCACCCCATGTTGCCCCACCCTGTGAATTCCCCATTTCTTTGTTCTCGCTGTGCAAAACCTGCCCAGTCCCTCGTGGTGTGGTCTCAGTGACGGTTGGCCTCACCTTTAAGGTGATTGGCTCCAGTGGCACTCGTGGAGCCAGGTGATTGGTACCTATTCCCTATAAAGCCTGCTACACTTCCTAATAAACTTTAGATCTGCATCACAGAACCTGGTCTCCGGTGTCTGCATGTCATCTGACTGATGCTGTTGCCTCACCCTTTATCCCCAAGGACCCCCAATATTGCAACACCAAGAAACAAGTTGATAATATTATCTGCAGCTGAGGAAATATGTTCTTCATACTTGAATGGAGATTTGGGAAGTATATTTCAGGGAACTAAAGTTTAGGGATAAGGGCAGAGGGTCTCAAGTTTGGAATTATACTATGTAAAATAGTGATGAATGCATACATTAGTAGAGGATCTCAATATTTATTTGATGAATGAACAGGAGAAATAGTATAAAAGTTATGTATTTAGGAATTATGCTTTGGTTTCAGGAACTCTCTGCAGCATTATACACTTGACCTTCAGAATGATTCACTCTGCCTACTGAATTTTAAAAACCAGTGGCAGTTGTACAGAGCTGGTTTTATTGTACTGAATATCTGCTCCTGATGAGCTTGAGAAAGCTCAATAGTAGAAGTAGGATCTTAGATGCCACTGCACATTAATGAGTGTTGATTATATACTTAGATGTTCAAAACTCATCGTAAGGAAGTTACATTTTAATTATCTTACTCCTCTTTGTCAATCTTAAAGGTCAGAGAGCTACTTGTATCCAGATTTTGGAGCATGTATTAGTCTTAATGCTCCTTAACCTTTTGGTAATATTTATTATTGTTGAGTGCACCATCTTCAATTTTTCCAATATATTAGTTTCTTAATGAACCCATTTAATTTCTATTTGTCTCTTTTATGACTTCTTTTGTCTACTAACAAAGTTCATTAGACTTATGCCCAATTTTTTTCCTGGGAGCTGATCACATATTCTGCTCCAGTTTAGTATACATCTAAACTGGTGTTTAGTGCAAAAAAGAAAGGTGTTTAGTGCAACCTTTATTGGTGATAAATATGTGAGAGAATGGTGGAAACTTCCCATAACTCAGCTTTTGCCATTCAGCACTCCTAGATGGTAGCTGAGGGTGGGCCCTGGAAGAACACACGTGTATGAAATGCATTCTTCAGAGGACGGTGTGATAAGAATTGGCGGTAGAAATTGGCTAGGCAGTTATGGTAAAAAAGACCCCAAAGAAAAGCAGCCAGTTTCTTGGCTAAAAGTCAAAATGTCCTTGGGCCTCTTAGCAACATACTCTGTTCCAAAGGCCAAAAATGACAAAAGTATTTGGGAGCTCTTATCTAATCCCTAAAAGGATTTTAGGGTTACCTCTTTGGGGGGGGGGATGCTAGAGCATCAAAAAGCCCCATTTAACAAGAAAGAAAGAAAAAGAAAGAAAGGAAAGATAAAGAAAGAGAAGGAAAGAAAAGAGCACATGAAATTGTCAGAAAAAAGTGATCGGGAGGTATGAGAGGTGTTGGAGGGGAGGGAGTGGGAGTGGATTTGATCAAAACACCTCATATGCATGTATGAAAGTCTCAAAGTTTTTTTAAAATAAAAAAAAAAAGCATTCTCAAGGGCTTCTGTGTTCCTTCTTCTATACTGATAAGATTAGCCCTACCCAAAATGACAAGGCCTAAGAACAAATCACAGATGGACCTGAGAAAATCTGGAGTACTGGCAAGCCAAATCACCAGTGTCTAGCCCAAATGCTGTTTAGCACATCCAAATTGCTTGATTCCCAGCACCCATATGGTGGCTACGAACCATCCTTAACTCCAGTTCCAGGGGAATCCGAAGCCCTCTTCCAACTTCAACAGCATTGCACGACATGGGTGCACTCACATACATACAGGCAATACACTCATACACATAAAAATAAAACAAACAAACAAACAAAAAACCATTTTTTATTTGATAAACTATCCTTAAGCCTTTCAAGTGTGTTACCTGTGTGTAGCTCTGTTCAGCCAACATTAACAGAACAATTTCTGACTTACACAATAAGTTGAGAAAGCTGACATTTTATGGAGAAAAATAGATTTGAAAACTACTACAGAAATTTATGTATGTTTCTCCTTTCAGTCAACACATCAGCAAAAGTATACCACGGAGAAATCCTGAAGTTGAAAACTTCAAAAGCTGAGTTATGGAAAGTGATTTTCCAAAGAACAATTTAGGTCATTTAGGTCAATATAGACTAAGTTGTTTAAGAAGGAGAGGAGAGAAAATAACATTTTAAAACTTGTAAGTAGGCAAAATGGGAAAACTGCAGGACTTAGCTAAAAGTGAATCTAGATTTATGTGATATGTGTAATAGATTGCTGAAGTTGCCAGTTAGGTGGTTTCCAGACATCCAGGTTAACAGCTTAAAATAAGATACCCGAGCTTGTAAAATCTTGGGAAACAAATTCACAATTTAACCCATATTAGAGCTGTTTATAGATTTATCAAGAAACCAATTTTAGAAGTTGCCTGTTTTGAGCCGATAGCTGACAAGAACTGAAAAAGAGTACAGAGAACTGTGCTGCAGGGAGTGTGGGGTGTGAGAAGTTCTTGAAGGCAGTGTGGAAGAAGACATTAAATCAAGCCAGATAGCACACTGTGTCATGCCTAGTGCTGCTGAGGTGGGACTCAACAGTTCTTTTACTCTCTTGGGCTTAAAAGGATGTCAATAAAGAATGAGATGGATTGAGTCTAGAGCTGTCAAACAGTGTCAGTATGTGGCTATGCAGGCAAATACTGTGAGTCCCATGGCTGTATGTGGTCCTGTAGCATGGCTTTTCTTTTTCTTTCTTTTTCAATTTGTTTTTAATCAAATTTTGTTGTATTTAATACAGAATAGCTCAAAAAATCTGAATCATCTTTATAGCATTGTTCCCCACCAGCACCCTCCCATATCCCCCACCCCCGCCACTGGAACCCATGTACTCTGTCCTGGGTGTTAAGGCCCACTGTGTCAAGTCAGTGTTCCCAGATGTTCCCCAGTGCAAGTCCATCTTTTTGCAGTCTAGTCAGATCCCTTTCATCTATCCAAACACCTATCATTTTCTTTTTTTTAACAAAGAATAGGGTGGGAGTTTATTTACTGAGGAGTGGGCACCCCCCATTTATGGCTGCAGTGGAAAGTCCACAATCAAATATAGATCCTGTGATTTCCTGACAGCTGCAGAAAATGGTGAGAGAGGTGCCCCCAGGCATTCTCAGCTTATATATCCTTAGCCCCTCCCCCACATGCAGATAAAGGTCAGCTGATTGGGTGGGAGGGGTAACTCACTCCCCCCTCAACTCCTTGATGAGAGTGGGAAGGAGGTATGACTATAGCTTGCCAGCATAGTGGTTGGAGTAACTTCAAGTTACACTCCACCCCTCCCTCCAGCTCTTACATTCTTGCTGCCAACTTTTTCCACAAAAGCCCCTGAGCCTTGGAAGAGGTGGTAGGTGTGGGATGATCTTCCTCCTATTGTGGCAAGGCACTGAATTTTTGGGTCTCTGCATTGTCGGTTTTCCACGGACTGTTGGCCTATTTAGTGGGATTCCATCTACCATAAAAACACAAACAGTAAGAAGCAAGAACACCTAAACAGTGGCTGCTATAATAACCTATGGGTATAAACACAAATGCATGGATGGTACTTTAGTAGGTACATCACATCCATCTAATAAAACAATTGCAGTGGCTTCCCACTGGAACCTTTATTCTTGCCTGCCACAGGGGGTTGGTCTGGTCTATAGCACCAGATGTGTTTTCCACTGGCTAGGAGTGGACATTATATCTAATAAAAAATTTTCTAATTGTACATACACTAGATGCTCCACTATTACACCAGAAGTGTAGCAGGAGGCCTCCAAATATGGCACGGACCCAGAGCCCTGGGATTCAGTGAGAATTTACTTCACTTCTTGGTCTGCAACTAGCCCACCAAAAGGAGCCCACACCTCTGTACCCTACTTGCAAGCCCAGTGACAGCTGGCAGACTGCATGGCACAGACCAATCAGAAAACGATACGCTGACTAAAGGGACTTGGAGTGGAGAAAAGGGAGATATAAGGCCTGCCCCCTCCTGCATTAAACGAGCCTGCAGCACCTTGCCTAGTGCTTGCTTCTACCCAGCTCCTGGTGTCTGAGTCATGACTCCACACCTCTTGTCCCCCTAATCAGCAGGGGACCTGATCCAGGTCAGGTTCTTCACAGCTGGTCTGAGGAGAACCCGCAACACAGCAGGAACCCATGTTTGGTATGTTGATAGGGCAACATGCGGGGTCCATCACTGAGAATTACAGGGAACAATTCTTCCTCAGTCATCTGCATATCACCTTTTGGCACCATGAAAGCCACACATCTAGTGGCAGGGAGTTTCCAGCTTAGTCCAAGCTTAATTTCTCCCTCTCCTGTGTTCACATCAAGCAGTGTCTTCAGCAATAGAGTCCCTGCATCAATTTCCAGTGTACAACCAACATTATTGGCAATGGCCTTTATTGTTTTGAGGACCCCCA